AGCTGTCAGTTTTGCAATGGCTCATGGGACTTGTAGTTCCACAACAACTGGAAGGCCAGAGGTGTCCACCCCTGTTCTAAAACATTTAGCTGTGTGTGTAATGTGATCTCCCCTGCAGCTTTCTAGCAGAGTTGCCGCCTTTGTTTCGTGCTCGCCCCCCTTGCCTTTTGGTTTTTGGCTCTGAGTGAATGTGGATGAGTTGGGAAATGCAGAAATCAGACACAAGAAGACGAGGAGAGCGGCTGCTTCTTATAAACAATATATTCATTTATTTCACGGTGTTCACATATTATTCACAGATAAAGAGGAAGTCAGGCAGCTGGCTCTGCACATCGTCTACTACTAGAAACAGGTGCAAGTCGTGTCTGAGGTGCAACAATGTAACAAAATATCCTACAAAAAAGAAGCACAAAATGTTTCACCCGCCGCGGGAGAAGCAGCCACAATAGAGCCCATCAAAGCATTTGCATAACTCCTCCCACGAGCCAGTCCACTGCTTCCATCAGAGCTGAGTGTTCTTGAGTGAAGTACTGAGGCAGGGTGCTATGTACAGCACCCTGCCGGCTTCTCCCACCAGCTATGATCTGCCTGCATTGCATAGAGAAGCACTGGATATAAAATAACAAATGTCATGAAAATGTAAAGACTTTATTATAACATTTCATTAGCATGTTGATGGGGGGGGGGGGGCAGGGAAGGCAAAGCTTATATAGATAATATCAGGATTAGAACCCCTTTCAGGTGTCCCCGCTGTGTAGATTCGCCCCCACTGTTTGTCCCGGTGGCCATGGTCACTTGTGCAGAAAGTGATGTGAAATGCAAAATTATACAGTTGTCACCAGAACAGGAATAGAAGGGGGATCTTCCATTGGTTGGGGAGAAGACCCCTCACTATTATAGAGATTTCCTCTCACTTCCTGTTCTATCTGCAGGACAGGAAGTAAAACTGAATCCCAAAGGGAACACGGGTACACCAGCACAGGAATACAAGGGGGATCATTCATTGAGTGTGGAAGGCCCCTCACTTTATAGAGATTTCCTCTCACTTCCTGTTTTGTCTGCAGGACAGGAAGTAAAATCTGAATCCCAAGGGGACACGGCTACACCATAACAGGGATAGAAGGGGGATCTTCCATCGAATGGGAAGACCCCTCACTGTATAGAGATTTCTTCTAACTTCCTGTTTTGTCTGCAGGACAGGAAGTAAAACTGAATCCCAAATGGAACACTTGTACACCAGCACAGGAATAGAAGGGGGATCATCCATTGAGCGTGGAAGACCCCTCACTGTATAGAGATTTCCTCTAACTTCCTGTTTTATCTGCAGAGCAGGAAGTAAAGCTGAATCCCAAGGGAACACGGTTAGCAAAAGAAAAAACAATAGGTGGGTCCCCAAAGTTAAACAAAATCTGAATTTCGGCATGTGTGTGGGGTGCCGGTCATGTGACCATAAAGGTGAACACATTCACCTTTTAATTTATTTAGATTTGGGGGTGGAGGGTTGTGGGTGGGTGGGTATCGGGGCAT